CCCAGAAAGGTCCCCGAACCGGGATTTGAACCGGTGACCTTCTTACTGAGAGGCATCAGCTCTACGAACTGAGCCACCGTGCCGCCCTCATCAGATTTGTGTCACATGTAAATATCAAACAAAAAGATTTGAAAAGTATTTTCATAACAGAAAACATGTAGGTTTTTAAGAATTTGGTAAGTTCAGAATATAGAACATATCTTTATTGTCATTGTAACAAGTACAACAAAATTAGGTGTTCCCTTCTGGTGTTTGAATAAAAAGTATAGAGAAGAGTAAAAAAAATATTTACAATATCAAGATGTAAAGAAGAAACATAAAATCATAAAAAAAATAAAGAGAGATAAAATGTAAATGAAATGAAGGCATCACTGCACAGCTCTTTCACATTTGACGGAGTTAATTGCACATAGATATTGTACACGTTTCACATTAATATAATACCTATTGCACACTGGTAATTACACATCGGTTGTTTGTGAATGTATCGTTCGTTGCCTGTACACGTTTGCACTGCGGTGTTATGTTGTGGGGTAAAAGCTATTTTTGAACCTGTTTGTCTTTGTTTTAATGCTCCTGTACCTCCTGCCTGATGGCAGTGGTTGGAACATGGTGTGACCTGGGTGTGTGGGGTTGTTCAGGATGTTCATGGCTTTCCTGAGACAGCGAGAGCTGTGCAGTTCCTCAAGAGAAGGCAGTGAGCATCCGATGATCTTCTGGGCCGTGTTGGTGATCCTCTGAAGTGTCTTCCTTTGTGCTGCCGTGCTGCTGGAGAACCACACACAGAGGCAGTAGCACAAGACACTCTCAATGCAGCAGTGGTWGAATGACACCAGCAGTTTCTGGCAGATGTTATTTTTTTCATGAGAACTCTCAGTAAGTGGAGTTTTTGTTGCACATTTTTCACCAGTACTGCTGTGTTGACATCCCAGGTCAGGTCTTCTGTGATGTGGACTCCCAGGAAGCGGAAGTCTGACACCCTCTCCCCGCAGGCCCCTTGGATGACGAGTGGTTGGAGGTCTGTGCCCTTTTTCCTGAAGTCTACCACGAGCTCTTTGGTCTTTGCTGTGTTCAGGGTCAGGTTGTTATCTGTGCACCGCTCTGTCAGCCSCTGTAGGCTGTCTCGTCCCCACCGGAGATGAGCCCCACCACAGTGGTGTCGTCTGCGAACTTGATGACTGAGTTGCTGTGGCGAGTGGAAATGCAGTCATGTGTGCACAGTGTGAAGAACAGGGGGCTCAGCACACAACCCTGTGGTGAACCAGTGTCGGTGGTAACAGCTGAGGAGGTGTGCAGCCCCACCCTGACCCTTTGTGTGCAGTCTGTCAGGAAGTTTTTAATCCAGTGACAAGTGGCATCTGGGACCCTCAGAGCTGAGAGTTTGCCCACCAGCCTGTGGGGCAGGATGGTGTTWAAGGCGGAGCTGAAGTCGATGAAGAGGAGACGTGCGTAGCTCCCCTGGTGCTCTAGATGGACCAGAGCAGCGTGCAGAGCTACAGCAATGGCATCCTCAGTTGACCATTTATATTTCATTATTCACACTTGATCCTCGCTCTGTTGATTCTGATGAAGATCATGAGTTGATTAATTGTTGCAAGAACTCTTACATCTGACCTATTCAGAAAATTTTTTAAAACTCTAAATGACAAAAGTTTTAGTTCTTTTTATTTATTATTTTTCATTTGTAATCATGTCACCATCATGATCACCATCATCATCATCATCATCATCATCACCTTCTTGTTCATCCACATCATTATCATCATCACCATTATCATCATCACAATCATCATCCTTGCCATCATCATCATCACATTATCATCGCAGTCATCACTATCCCAATCACATCATCACATCAACATAATCATTGCATCATAATTTCAATCACCAACATTACGTCATCACTATTTTCACCATCATAATCACAACCACCATTTGCCATCATCATCATCATCATCATCATCATCATCATCATCATCATCATCATCATCATCATCATCATCATCATCATCATCAT